AGCAAGAATGGCCAGACTTCATCTCACCTATTTTGGTCATGTTGTCAGAAGGGACCATTCCCTGGAGAAGGATGTCATGCTTGGTAGGGTGCAGGGTTGACAAAAGAGGGGGACGCCTTCAATGAGAGTGGCTGCGATGATGGACTCAAGTATAGTAGGGATTGTGGGGCTGGCACGGGATCGGGCAGTGTTTCATTATGCTGTGCATGGGGTCGCTATGAGTCGGAAACGACTTGACAGCACTTAACAACAACAGCAACAAAGCATCTTTCTGATATTCTTTCCTTTCAGCCAAGATCCATCTGACATCAGCAATGATATCCCTCATTCCATGTACTCTTCTGAATCCAGCTTGCATTTCTGGAAGTTCCCTGTCAATATACTGCTGCAACCATCTTTGAATTATATAGCAAGATTTTACTTGCATGTGATATTCATGATATTGTCCAATAATTTTCACATTCTGTTAGATCATCTTTCTTAGGAATGGGTACAAATATGGATCTCTTCCAGTCAGTTGGTAGCTGTCTTCCATGACTTCATATTAATAATTTCTCTATTTAATTAGAACTTCTCTACTTCTCCTCACTATTTGCCACCAAAAGTAAGGCTACACATTTTCAAACAGATAGAGGATGCTATTTATCAACGTTATTCTTGTCAGATTACAGTTTTCTCAGGAATTTATTTTCTTTGTATCATTGAAACATAGATTTATATAGACTTGAAGCTGGAACTTTTGGACTTTTAATAATTAACCTAGAAGACTTTGCTTTGGATTTCCTGTCTACCAATAGCACAGATCTGATGTACATCAGAGTAGCATGAATCAGAATACCAAAGAGTGTAAAACTAATCTGTTAGTCTATAAGCACTTCTACCTGTTGAGTACTCACCTTGTTTTCCTGGGCAGAGTCCCTCCTGGGCCCTTGGAAGGGGGCTACAGATTCCCAAGTGACAACCACCACACTAATGGGCTGGAAAGAAACTTCCAGGAACCCTCTCTGGACATACACTGCTGCCAGCTGAGTGACAGAAGGGGAGAACTCCTCCCGATAATAAACCTTTCCAAGGCCATCTGTGGTGTCCAAGTCAGCCAGAAAAGGTGCGATGGCCCCGAAGGTTGGTGGGAAGAGTCCAGGATGGGATTCCTTAGCCGGGGGCTCACTCATGGCGATGATGCCATTTGTGGTGACCTATACAAAATCAAATGTGATTAAATGGAATGCTGGGGAGACTGAACACACAGAGTACTGTTACAAGGTACCCAGAGTAGCTTAAATATATTAGAGTTTGAGAATAACACGATCCCAAATTTAACAACTCAGCATTCTTTTTGTAGACAGTAGGACCTGGGGGAAAGAGCACTGGGCAAGAATTATAACACTTGACTCTGGTAATGGGACCTTGGACAAGTGTCTCAAAGTTTGAATCTCAGGCTTTCTCATTTGTGCCTTTGTCACCTCAAATAAGACGATGGGAATAAATGTGAAAGGGAAAAGCAAAGCACTATAATAACACAAGTCATTATTGCAGTACTAGGACAGTGCTAAATGCTATGGGGACAGACATGGGTAGGGCATTTCACCTCCCCACTCCCACTAATATGGCTAGCATCATAAAAATGGAAAATAACAAGTATTGGCCAGGATGTGGAGAAATCAGAACCTTCATAAACTGCTGGTGGGATTGTAAAACGGTGTAGCAGCTGTGGAAAATAAGAGAGCTTAGCAGTTCCTCTAAAAGGCAGACACAGAATTACCATAAGACTCAGCAATTCCACTCCTAAGTATACACCCAAGGGACTCAAAAGCAGAGATGTAAACAGATATATTTGCACCAGTGTCCACTGCTGCATTATTCATAATAGTAAAAAATGTGGAAACAACCTAAATGTCTGTCAACAGATATATGGATAAACAAAATGTAGTATAGTTATACAACAAAACATTATTCAACCCTAAGAAGAAATGAAGTGCTGTATGCTATGACATGAATGAACCTTGAAAATATTATGTTAAGTCAGAAATAAAAGGAAAAATATTGTATGATCACATTTACATGAAATATATACAACAGGTAAATGGCATAGAGACAAAAGTTTATTTGTGGTTAACAGGGTGCACAAAGGGCATGGAGGAGGCATCTTTTGACATCCTCTAACTTCACAAAAGGGGGACCAAATCACCATCAGCAACCCAAGACTTATTCCTATGAAACCATATATGCCACCACCCTTCAACTCTGAGTCCCTGTATGGCACTCAGTGCTTCTCTGCTGGGTTTGATAATTCATTGCAATGGCCACACAAAACTCTCGGACAATATTCATGATTATGGGGTTTATTAGGGAAGTAACAGGCTCAGGTTCAGGAATATACTCAGGACATAATCCTTCAATCAAGACAGTCTCCCCTCTGCTATGCCTCAGGCACACCTCTCTGGCCCTTGGCCTCTCTGTGTGGTCTCTGCTCTGCTCAGGCAAGCGTTACAAAGTTCTTTTAGCTCTCCCAATAGGTATATCTAGGTGCACCCCACTTTGCCAGTAAGCTTCCTACCCAAAAATCTCTGTGGACTGGCAAGCCTGTCTCTCTGTCTTGTGCCTCTTGGTTCCTCAGCTGGTCATCTGCCAGTTGTCTCTGCCAGTAGTCTATGCTAGTTGTCTCTGCTGGTCTTCTCTGCCAGTTGGTTCTACCGTCTCTCTTTCAAGGAGGTCCAGTGCCAGGAGCTCGGGTCCAAGGACATGCTCCACTCTACCTCCAGCTCTTCTCTTTTGATGGCAGTGAGATCCCCCTTCTGCCTCTAGAAGAGCTCATTTTAAGCCTAGCAGAATGACAAAACTAACGAATCCCCACATTAGAGTTCCATACACCTTATTTGCATAGTGCCACCCATTTATCTGGTGGGAGACACAAAGACTATGGCTAGGAGAACCATACCAAGTAATTAACTGCAACACACAGGGGCTGGGGGAAAAAGAGAATGGGAGCTATTGCTAAACTCATTGCCATTGAACCAATTTTGACTCATAGCAACCTTATAGGACAGTGTAGAACTGCCCCATAGGGTTTCCAAGGCTGTAATCTTTAGGAAGCAGACTGCTACATTTTTATTCCATGAAACAGATGGTGGGTTTGAACTGCCAATTTTTCAGTTAGCAGCTGAACACTTAACCACTGCATCACCAGAGTTCTTTAAGGGGTACTGACTTTCTCCTTGGACTGATGCAAAACTTTTGAAAATAGATAGTGGTAATAGTTGTACAACATGAAGAGTATATATAATGCCACCCATTTCTATGGTTAAAATGACAACACTTTTCTTATATATATTTTACCACAGTAAGTCCCCTTGCAGTCCTCTCCTTTAAGGGACCCATAATCCACAAGGATAAGGTGAGGGACTGACACAAATAATGATTCTACAATAAATAAAAAATAAATGTCTAGGAGCAAATATGTGTGGGGCATTATGACATTATTAATTATATTGAATAGTTTAATGTGTTAGAATAATAGCTAATACTTATTGAATGTTTACTATGTTCCAGGCATCTTATTAGTGTCTAATCCTCAGAACAACCCTGTAAGACAAGGCACTATTATCCACCTTTTTCTGATGGGGAAACTGAGCTAAGTTAATCAATTTGCACAAAGTCACCAAATATTAAGGTGCCGGAATTTGAACCCAGGGAGCCTGATTCCAAAGCTGGCCTTCTTGATCATTATGTATGCAGTCTTCTTGAAATCAGTTATTATTGTCTATAAAATGATATCACTGCTCTTATTCAATTAAAATCCACAGTCCTTGGGAAAATGGCAAAGAAACCACTTAGATCAGTAGCAACTCTTCCTGTGCTGGTGGGGACAGTTAGACTCTCCAAGGTTATGCTAATTGAGGGGCTGACCTGTTCCTCTCATATTCTTATAAATGCACAATCCCCTGAGGAAATGGAATACCACCCTAAAGGTCTTTTTACTCAGATAATCTGATTTTTTTTAATTCTCTAGTTTTACATTTTAAGATGCTGCATCATAAATGTGTTGGACAAACAGAAATCTGAAGCCACTCTCAATTGTCCTGGACTTGGCTAGAAGGCCTGTGAGTTTCCCAGGCTGCTTATCCAAACCCTTTCCTGCCCACCCCCACAACCATCCTCCTTCCACAGCTTTATCTTTCAGCCATTTCAGATCTCATTACTAGAGGAGGAGTTTGCACAGGTGGGTAATTGATAGGAACATGAAAGCAAGCACTTGAAATATGCCAACAATCTGATAGAGGTGAAGCATTCCCCTATCTTTCCCGCCACCTACCTGCAGTTTATTGTACTACAGTGGATTGGATGTTGCTATGATGCTAAAGCTATAGCAGTAGTATTTCAAATACCAGCAAGATCACCCATGGAGGACAGGTTTCAGTAGAACTTCCAGACTAATATAGACTATGTAGAATGAAAGGCTTGAAGATCTGCTTCCAAAAATTAGCCAATTAAAACTCTTTGGATCACAACAGAACACTGCCTGGTATAATTCAGGAAGATGAGCCTCCCTAGGTTGGAAGGCCTTGAAAATACACAGTGGCTGCAACAATAGATTCAAACATACAATCGTGAAGATGGTGCAGGACTGGGTAACATTTTGTTCTGCTATACAGGGGGTCTCCCTGAGCCACAGGCAACTCAACAGCAACTGATGACTGGGAAAAGAAGAGCTTTGGCCGTTAAGTGTGGATTTAACAAAGTTCTCTCCTTTCATCAGGAGCTCTGGTGGTATAGTGGTTAAAGCATGCAGATGCTAAAAGATCAGCAGTTCAAAAGCACCAGCTGCTCTGTGAGAGAAAGATGAGGCAGTCTGCATCCATAAAGATTTACAACCTTGGGAAACCCTATATGGCAGTTTTACTCTGCCTTAAAGGCTCAGTATGAGTTGGAATTGATTTGAGGGTAGGGATTTTGGTTTTCTCTTTTTATCAAACTCCGTGGGCTATCAAATCTTTAGGTAGCATATTTTCCATCATGACTTGACTCCAGCGCTAATTGTTAGGACATATGGACAGGCTTCAGAGAAGGAAGTCAGGGAAGGAATTCTACCCAGCTGGTCTCTCACCTTCTTCTCTTCCAGCAATACAGTATAGCACAAACATCCCAATTGGATTTACATGTGGGAGCGTGGGAACGGCTCACTTTCTCAAGCAACCAGAAGTTGGTAGTGGCCAGCTGCTAGGGAGAAATGACACTGAGACCACATACAAAAAAAATTAGTTCTCAGGAGCTGTTTACAAATGAAATTTAAATTGGTCCAACAATTTTGAAAACACTCTTGATGTCTTTTATTATTTAGAATCTGAGCACAGTACTTTATGTATTTTCACAATGAGTGCTTTAAGAATTGGAGTTTTAGACATGTATCATAAAGCACTGCAAATGCTCTACCCAAAAGTCATACAACCATCACAGTATTATGATTGGAAAATTATTATTCAGCCAATTTTACTGTACCTTCAACTCAGTTATCTGTGGTAAAGAAGAAAGATGGTATAAAAGGTCAGTGAAATGAGCAGAAAACACAAAAGTTTTTTTTATTCTTAGATTTCAACTTTTCTCTAGTAAAATTTTAAACAGATGTATCAATTGATGGTAAGCTTGAAGAACAATGATATTACCTTACACTGGGGTGCAATTTTCATTTTGCAAAGTCTTTAACTACCATGATATTCCTACTTGCTCCTTTTCTCTATCTTTTGGAAATGTCCTTGAGCAATTCAATGGTCAAAGGGCAAGGAGTACAAAGGAAAAGACATAAAACACACTTAAGAGGCACAGACCCAGTCTACAATCTCTAAGAAGACTAGAGTGGTTACCCCACGAGAGTTCACAAAGCCCCAACAAGCTGCCCAAGATTAATGCTACAACTGCCATTCACACACTTGTTTAAACCAAGAAATCTTCTTCTTTTTCATTTCTCATGTCCTGTATATCCTACCTTCAAAGTAAATGGTACTTCCTCCATCCCTACTATGACCACCTAGTTAGTCCAAGTCACCAACATCCAGAAGGCTTTACTGCAATGGGTTCCTAACTGACATCTCAATCCTTAAGATATCTGTGGTAGTACAGTTTGTGTGTCAACTTGGCTGGGCCTGGTTGAGTGGAGGGGCAGCTGGTGGTAGTTATTCCCCATGATGAGACTGGCAGTCAA